ATAGGTCCTTCTGTCTAAAATCAAGGTGTTTTGGCATGACCATCGCACATTTTCCTGAAATATGTTCTATAGAGGTTGAATTTAAGGCAAAGATTCAACACATGGAATAGTTTTTGAAATTCCTGTTCTTTATGAATGCTGCCTAACAACCTCTCTAGGAATTATTATTTTTGTCTCTTGTGTCTTACCCAGTGATTACAAGCCTCGTAACCCAGAGACAGCTAGGCAAATACCTTCTTATACTTTGTTGACTCCTCTCTCTCCTCTAGTGGACTGTAGCAGATTTTGTGGAAATCTGTGTGTGTCTTTAAAAAAAGAAAATGTTTTCTTCTATTTTCAAGCTTGACTTTTCTGTTACAGAAGGAATTTAATCTTCTCTCTGAAATGACTTTCTTAGTCCTCCTGATAACAAATGATAGAACTTTCAATTATAGAAAAAAATGACTTGAGAATGCAACAGCTTCTCCTCCAGTTAATAGGAATAGGAGGAGTATAAAAATAGAAGGTTCCCAGAAATAACCTTGCTGTGACTGTGAGGCATCTTAGCTGTTATCATTCATGTCGATCTCTGTGTTTTCTGATCCGTGTGTTTTGTGTAAATGAATTAAACAGAATCCTTGCTGAAGGCTCTGCCTGTCTTTATTATTCATCTTTAATGCTGAGGACCAGAAGACAGTGCTTTCTTCAGGGTTGTGTAAGAAGGGGTCAGGTGAATGCTATGGGGCTTGATAAGCGAGTATGAAGTGATACTGTATATGGAGAGAAATGTTGAACATTTGTGTGTGCAGTTGTTGTTGTGTTTGTTCCATTAAGTGTAAAGAACAATTCTGCAGCAAATCTGTGTCGGAAATGTCACAACTTAGGCTACATAACAAGCTGATTGACCAAACATGTCAAGGGGACATCTGATAAAACAAATGACACCAACATGCAGTATTTGCATTTTCTTTCTGTTATTTTTACTCTTAGACAAAAACAAATCACAGCTTGCTGAATTGTATTAAATATAGAACAAAATAAGTAAGTATATTTCTTTGGTTATGTATTTGGTACATATTTGGAATCATAGGTAAAAGGTAGGGGTCATTAAAAATAATATTTTATAGAACATTGTTCCATTAGAACTTCAGATTTTAAACATGGGCTAAGATTATATTAAATATTAATTTATGTTAAATATTAATTGATTTTACAAATTGCTGTAATGCAGTTAATTGGTGTGCATATCAAATTGGTTATATTTCTTTTTTTTCTCTCTAATTTGATTTTCTGCCTATTTGTTCACGTGAGTGCAACAATATTGTTACAGAGTAAAGATCAAATCAGCTTTAGAATTTAACACATTGGAAAGAAAATACCTATACATGTATTGCCTTTGACACATCCGGTTTTTGATTAACTGTAATCAGCCATTGGGTGTCTAATACCTTGTTCAGTGGACAATGTTAGAGGCATCTGAACTGTAATGAACAGTGTGAATTTAGATAAAATGTTCTCTCAAATACCACTGGTATTGCTTCTCTTTACTGCCTTTGTGTATTTTGAATCGCTAGGTGTAGTACCTAGATATTTCAATTAATTTACAACATTAGCCCAATACATTTTAGAAATTGAGTAGAAAGGATTTCTAGAAGATGAAAACTTCACAGGTGGCTTAGTGACTTAGTGACTTAGTGACTTAGTGCTGTAGCTTTTCAATAATTCATTCACAATAGCTATAAAGCTAAAACACTTTAGAAAATCAATTAAATAGGAAATGAAATTCTGATGCATCTCAACATGCTCTAACCCAGCTCAGAGGATAATACTGAACCCAAGTCAGTAAGAGTGTAATCCATTGCATGCCTTTAAACAATTTCAATATCAGTAATTGAACTTACATTATATCTTAAAATAATCCTGTGCAAGACACTGAGATGTTAGTTTAATTCTATTAAATAAGACATTATTCAGTCTCTTAGCTCTTAAATTCCAGCTTTGCAGACTTAATTGATATAATGTAAAACAAGAAGATTATACTGACTGCAGCTTGACTCATTCTTTATTCAGAAAACATTTTCTTATTGCTTATTCTATTTCGTATTATCAAATAATGCTGAACAGTCTTACAGAATCTTTTGAAAGTAGATTAGTTTGATTTTGTAGTTTTGGAAGCTCTGGCATTTTTCTATTATCATCCCTAAAGATGAAAAGTCTCAGTGCTCTGTTGGGCCCATGACACAGGCAAGCTCTATAAGAGACAGAGCAGAACTCCAGTAACCCAATGCCCATTAATCACCAGCCGATGCTGCACTCTGCCCAGTGGTATTGACTTCTCTGCTGTAATCAATGACTCCTTACAGTACCTACACATTGTTTACACAGCTTGATGAACATTATCTGCAGTCTTCTGAAAACACACATTCCTACTGTACCTCCCTGATTTTGTGATTTTTTTCATTCATTTATTTTGTTAAATAAATTAAATCGTTCTTAACCCTTTTGATTAAAGGGAAGTAACACTTACTAAAGGTATAATATAGATAAGATCACTTTATTGGTCATATACAATTTCTTGCATTAGGAATTTATCTTTTCGCATACCCCAGTTTGCTCTCCATGAGACACACAGTCACACAGACGGGGAGAGAGAGTTTGGGGTCAGAGCACAGGGTCAGCCATTTATCCTCCGCTAGCTGGAAGGGGATATGGATCTCATATTAGCACTTGTGGGAACTCTCATAGGCAATGGCATTGATCTTGATAGATTACGTTTGTAACCAGAGAGGTTACTACATTGTGAAACACATTCCAACACTGCTGGAACTGATCATTCTGGCTTAGTTATATACAAGAGAACGCTTTCAGCATGAAGGGAGGTTTTGGGTTATGATGTGGTATTAAATGTTATCAAGAATTTAAATGCTATCAACAATGGCATAGCTTTAGACTACAGTATATACTGTACCTAATGTGCATCTAATGTGTAATTTAGCTGTTAGGAAATAAATGGCCATTTAACACAACACACTTTCGCTACTAACAAATTACACACAGCACTCAAATCATAGACAACATAATGATATACCGTATATATTGAACCTAGATATACAAGATATAAAATGTCAGTGCACTCTGATTCATACATGTCAGTTTGAGCTTTTATTAAGGGTTTTACTGATTTTGACTTATTCAGCCTTTCAGAAGCCCACAGTATTTTTTGGATAATCATACATCTCTTTGCTTTTGAGTGTACTGCATTCTCAAAAAGGTGTTTATTTGCATGGTGAGCGAGAGCAGTTGATCCACTTTTATTTTTATACTGTATGACTACACTCAAGCATTTTCCAATAAACATTCTTGAAGTAAAAGGAATTCTTAAGAAGACTGCTTACTTTTAATTCTAGATAGAGTCTTACATTTTCTATGGCAATGATCTTTACAAAGTAGCTATCCAGGCACTCTCCATTTTCTCTGGGTGGCATACATCAAACTAAAATTGATTTATTATTAAGAGGTTTTAAAGCTAAAATTGATCTTTTATCCCTTATCATGGTCATCATCTGATTCTAAAATTTACAAAGGTATTGTTACCAAATAATTCAATTTAAGCTTCATTCAATAATTAATTTAAATTGTTTTACCTTGGTAAAAATAAGACTGCAAAATAGATATTTTTAACACATTCAAATTCCAGATTCTAGAAAGGGAAAATTGCATAATAAAGTGGATTTGCCAGTTATGAAAAAAAACTCAATAAGAAGAAAAATTATACCTCCTAAAAATAAAACAATAATCAATTCATTTTTTTCCATCTGTTCCTACATATTTGCTTATTATATTGAACACAGAAGCACAGAAGCAACTTGCAAAGTGCTTTATCTGATTAAACTGGGCACAAGACAACATAGACAATATGTTTAAGCTGGACATTGAAATGCCTACAATTTGATATTCCTGTTTAGCTGTCATAACTACAAATATGGCATGAATATGTCATAACTATCCTGCCCTAGTAGCCCATAGTAAACCAGTCAAGCAGCTACCTTAAAATAAAACTTGAAAAATGTACTGAGGAAGCTGAGGTCACTAATAAAATTAAAGTGCATTAAAATGTATTAGTAAGAGCTTTTGAACCTATTAAATGTTAGAGGATCATGATTTTGATCTAGAGGAGCTGAAGAGTGAAACCAGCAGCATATTCTGGAACTCGATTAAGGCTGAATGGTTAAGAGTCAGAGGGCAACCTACCAAAACATGTGACAGACAAATTTCCCAGAAATACGTCCTAGTAAGCAGGACATATCCTGGCCAAATTTCCTCTTGGCCTTTACCAATCATGGCCTCCTAATAATGCCCATCTCTGAACTGGCTTCATCACTCTGCTCTCCTCCCCACTGAGAGCTGATGTGTGGTGAGCGTTCTGGCGCACTATGGCTGCCATTGCATCATCCAGGTGGGGCTGCACACTGGTGGTAGTGGAGGGGAGTCCCCATTACCTGTAAAGCGCTTTGAGTGGAGTGTCCAGAAAAGCGCTATATAAGTGTAAGGAATTATTATTATTATTAAATGTTCTCAAAAAAGGCTTCATCTAATTCAAATTTATTTCCTTTTTTTTCATTGCATTTCACAAAACGTTGAGAGGAATGTATGTCAGAATCTATAGGTTAGCTTCAACTCTTTTTATGAGGTCCTTGAAGGACTGATACCGCGTTTTTACATCTAACAATTAATCTTTAATTATACAGCCAAAGCTGAATACCCTCGGCTCAAAGACATGCATTAGAAAAAAAACACCAAATATCCCACAGCCCCATTTGCGTTCCATTAGATTTTTAAAAAATCCTTGTAATGTTTTTAGCAGTTTGTGTTATAAGAACGCGCTCATTTATTTCACTCCTGAGAAACAACAGAAACAGGCGTGCATGATAATTCAGTTATTATTATTGAGTGTCGGTGGTCAACAACCAGCGGAAGTGCGTCAGCCGGGGGCGGTGTCTGAAACGGAAACGGCTCGGGGACTGTAAACAGTCAGCGGATCGTGAGTCTCCATTTTCAACAACAGAGGCTGGTCAAAATAGGAGAGCAGCGACATGGGGTCTGTCCTCGGACTCTGTTCCATGGCAAGCTGGGTGAGAATATATTCCTGTTCACGATTTTTACAATAAATATAGAACTTGGGGTTTGCATCGCTAGACGTGCGCAGATCTTGCTTTTTGAAATGAAAGAGAAAGCGTGTCCGTGGTGAGATGATGAGACAGTGAAATATGGTGCTTGGCCCTCCGGCGAGGACAGCAGGGGAAAATACCGATTCTTTATGCCTCACGGAAAGCACACCGTTCACCCGATCTGGCTTTCTGTCATTATGGTTAAAAGATAAACCTCACATTTTGTTTAATTTGGAATCGGCGATGTGCAGTCAGGATTTGTGCTTTACACGTAGCGGTTTCACTTTTTTATTTTACTGTTCAGTTCCTCTTGTTTATGTAGTTTGTGTGTAGTTGAAAAGGTGTGGGGATCCAACGGTAAAGAAAGGAGAAACGTCAGCACGGAAGGCGACTCTCGGGGACTTGTGACAGCGTAAACATACGTCCATTTGGTATTTGAGACTCTTGCGTGTGCATCCTGGGGCAGTTGGAAAGGCTGAATACTTGAGGTGCATCTCAAGACCATCACTTCTCTTGCAGGTTTGCTACCTAAGGCTGCAATTGTGTGTTCACTGGGTGTGTCTGCCCCTCGGCCTTTCGTGGATCATGGCCGGACCTTCTGCTCCACGACAGTGTGTCTGTGAACTGCAATCGTTATAGTCTCAACTGTTTATATTTATGTAACGCGCAAATGCATTCTTGTATCACAAGAATCTTATGTCATAAAGAGTTGCTGAATTACAAGAAAAGGTGATGTTCGGAGCTTTCTTGGATCAAGCTGTTAGAGAATATAAAGGCTGCGGTATTAATGCGATTGTGACGCTTGCGTAGTCATTTAATTAAGAATGCAAATCTAGTACCTCGGATCAGCAAACATCCAGTCTGTCTGAAAGGTTCTGATGTTTTTTTCATGTCTTCTGATCCACGATTAAAATGTGCACTCGATAGGTTAGATTGTACAATAAACTGAAACTGAGATCATACCCATTTTTATCAACTCCAGCATCAATCTGACGGATATCATAAATCTCGCTTTCTCACTTCATCGTGGTGCAAATCGTTGCTGGCTTTTCTACAAAACATGATGGATTGCTTATTTTTATTAATTTTAATACACAAGTGCTTAGAATAGAAGTGTTTCATCACTAGGTCTAGATTGTTTGTATTTTGATTACTGGACTTTCAAATATATAAAATAATGAAATACTTTGTTGCCATTTGTTGCCATCAGTATTTTTAGTGCAGCGATGTTATGGATTTAAGTATTTGTGGCCAGATTATAGTTTGGTTAATATGGCAAATTATTGCAGTTTTGTGCATATGAGGTTTATTTTTTAATTATTTAGTTCCATTTTCTAAAACAAGAATATTCAAATTTCTGTTACCTATTGGCACTACATAGATACGTATTAATTATGTTACCTGAAAGAAGGTACATATTTGGATTTTAAGTAAGTTTACATGTTCTAGATGTTTCTTCTGTTATGTTAGATTTTCTCCCTTTCTGTTTTTTTCTTGAAGCTGTCTTGGTATTGCTACATAGTCAGTCACTTCAGTGAAGCACCAGTCAAGTGGAGGTGTACATCATCCATAGCTGATGTGACATACATGGTCAAAAACGTACCTGTGTGGTTTGTTTTTGAAAATAAGAACTCTGGTCAGTGGTTAGTCTGACCATCTCGCCCTTCAAAAGTGTATTGGCAATGTGAGTGTTTGGTGTTTGAAAGATTTGCCTGCATATCTTGCTTTTAATTATAATGCACTTTATGGGAGACACTGAATCTGCCCTGCACTGCTCCCACCATCGCCATTGTTACACTCGGCCGATACTGCCGACAATCCTGGTGGAGCGCCACTCGAGGACTTGTGCAGAGAGCTTCTGAATGGTGGTTAAAGCGTAGCGTTGTGATTTGACTTAAAACATTCAGAGAAAGCAAAAACCATATCCAGATTCCTTAAGCACTAAATGGCCTCATTTGTAGGAGAGCTGATTTGGCACAGGTGGGGAGATTATTTATTTGGTAAACATCAAGCCTGGTGAAAAGTCTCATGCTTATAGTTTGTGTTAGTTCTTAGACTTTTATTCTGTATTTGTTTTTTTGTTTTTAAATCTCACTTTCCTTTGTTAGCCAAAGGGTTATTTTACAATTAAAATGAAACATTCTCGGTTGCCACACTGCTCAAGGTGATGGGTTATAATGTGGGCTGTTGGTGTAATTTCTTTCCTTCATGGTTGTTTTGACTTGACTTGCAGAAATCGGATCAGGTGGCTTTAAGTTAATGACCTGCAGTAAACAAGCTCTTGGCAAGGCAAGAAGCACATATTCTGGCATTGCTTTTTAGTCCTGCGATGCTAAGGACATCCACCGGACAGCTTAGCGAACATCCTTGTAAGTTCAGTGGCTGAATATAACACATAAAAGGCAATATAAGAAGCTAGTTGCGATACCCTGACTTCATTTACAGAGTGCAATGCTCAGGAAAAATCATATCCGTCCTCTTTTTAAACCTCTTTTTGTTTTTAGTCATCTACAGGGACACAAAATAGCAGTGTTGCTCAAGTTGTGAATTTCACTTGCTTTTCAGATTCCTTGCCTGTGTGGCAGTGCGCCCTGCCTGCTGTGCCGATGCTGTCCTAGTGGAAACAACTCCACGGTCACTCGGCTCATCTATGCCTTCTTCCTCCTGCTGGGGGTCGGCGTGGCCTGTATAATGCTGATGCCCGGGATGGAAGGACAGTTAAAGAAGGTACTGTTGTTGTGTTTAATTTCGCTGTGTATGTGTCGCAGTAAAAAATCATGAAGTATAATTTTTATCTTGTTTATTGTTTAATTGCAGCTTCTCCATGACTAAATCCTATTTGACCAACGTCACTGTTGATGGTGTTTTATTCTTGTATTCTGTGTATAATTGCACAGATAGGTCCTAGATCATATTGTTTGACTCAAGTGTGGAGTATACTTCATTTCTGTGAGTACAGTATACACATTGCTATGTTTTTAAAACTCTGCAGATTCCTGGATTTTGCGAAGGAGGCATGGGGACATCCCTTCCGGGCGTTCACGGTCACGTGAACTGTGATGTGCTCGTCGGCTACAAGGCGGTCTATAGGGTGTGTTTCGGCATGGCCATGTTCTTCCTGCTCTTCTCTCTGCTGATGATCAAGGTGAAGAGCAGTCAAGATCCGCGCGCCGCCGTCCATAACGGGTGAGTAGCAGAGGCTCCAGCAGCTCCTCACATTAAATACCATGTCATGGCAATATCTTAGCGTTTAACATGATTTAAATAAAGTAACACTTTAGTTGGATATATCCGCGGGGACAGTATGAATGTGGTGGAGGGGATCCCCATTATCTGTAAAGCGCTTTGAGTGGAGTGTCCAGAAAAGCGCTATATAAGTGTAAGCAATTATTATTATTATTATTATTATTACTACTTGTAGGTAGGAGATCAGCTGAGTAGACACCCAATGGGTGTTGAACATGTGTAGCTCCTGTAGGCAACTCAGAAGTAGTCAAAGCATCTGGAGATGGAATCTTGTGTTTCTTCTTAAAATGTTTCAGATTTTCTTCAGAGGCTGGAGAGAGTACAGTGAAACAGGCCACTTGTTTTGATGTTATATGCCAATGTGTGTGCTTTCACAAGACAAGGTCATTGTACTGAGAAGTGTTCCCAGAGGCCTGTTTGAGTATTTGGTGTGATGCACGCATAACTGGTGTATAAAAGACTAGTGTGCTTTCAGATCTAGAGGTTTTTCCCCCAGTTTTTAAAGGTGAAAACTGCTGTATAGAAAAGAATCTCATTCCTTCATTTGTATTTTTTTAGGTTCTGGTTCTTTAAGTTTGCAGCTGCTACAGCCATCACTGTTGGTGCCTTTTTCATTCCTGAAGGACCCTTTACTACTGGTAATATTTTCCCAGCACATTTACAAAACCTGTGTACAGTATGATCTTCCCATGACAGCATATTACTGCAATTGAGGTGATGTACTGAGTGAGTTGTGGTAAAAAATAATGGGTATCTTTATTTTGTGTGTGCGGTATTGCTTAAAGCAGTTTTAATTAATGTGATATTTTTAATATACTATCCATTGGTTTGTGTTGGTAATGTTTTTTTTAATGGAGGTGAGTTTATGTATAGCCCTTTCTCTTTTTAGTTATCTTAAGTACCTGTGTCTGGCTAGCTCCAGATTCTCTCTGAGTGCACTGTTGTCCTGTCCTGTCCCCTCAGTGTGGTTTTATGTTGGAATGGCTGGAGCTTTCTGCTTCATCCTGATCCAGCTGGTCCTGCTCATTGACTTTGCCCACTCCTGGAATGAGTCGTGGGTAGAAAAGATGGAGGAGGGGAACTCCAGGTGCTGGTATGCGGGTAAGGACTGAAAAGAAAGATCAAGTTAAGAAAAGTACACGTAACAGACAGGCGGAACCATTCAGATTTTCTCATCATAGTTTTGACATACTTAATCTCTAAAAGGGAACGGCTTCTTGAATTTCTCCATGCATGAATAACATTTTTTTTTAATTGAACTTTTGATAATTGTTGTTGAAACAATATGCTATGAAGGTATCTCACCCATCAATCTTGAAAAATGTATAAAACTGATATTTAATAGATCTAATAAAATATGTAGACCTTCACTAAATCATAGGAGAACCCAATAACATCGGAAAGTTCAACTCAGGTAGGTCCTGCTGACAGTAAATATTGTTGTACAACACTGAAAACTCATTTTTCTGAGAAAGAAATCATTCCCACAATACACAACCACCTGTTACATTATTTACACAAGAACACAAATCCAGGCCATAAAGGTTTAAGAAGGTGTTGTTTAGAACTTGATGCGTAAATTCACACATTTTTAAGTGTAATGTCTATTTTTTTTCTGTAAAATTCAAAAAGCCAAAATAAAAGATGATCGTTTCCTTGCCTTGCATTGCTGAGGTTTTAATGTGTTTTTTTGAAGCTCTTCTTTCAGCTACAACTCTGAACTACATTCTTTCTCTGGTTTCCTTGATCCTGTTCTACGTCTACTACACCCACTCTGATGGGTGTACCGAGAACAAAGCCTTCATCAGTGTGAACATGCTGCTTTGCCTTGGTGCCTCTGTGATGTCTATCCTTCCCAAAATTCAGGTATGAAGGTGGTCAGTTTTCCCCTGGCTGCTTGTCTGGTTGCACTGCCACACGCCGTGATGTATTTTTACAATTTTGGCAGGAATCCCAGCCCAGATCTGGTCTGCTGCAGTCTTCTATTGTCACTCTTTACACGATGTACTTGACTTGGTCGGCCATGACCAATGAGCCAGGTAAGACTTGAACATTTTTATGCTGTTTTCTGTGACATGAGAAGATTCGCATGCATGTGATTATATGAACACATAGATTGCGTCGTTGTGTACTGTCTTCTTATAACTTGTTAACTTGAGTGGAGTGGGTGCTTTTTGTTTTTATGCTTCTAATTTATGGAACTCGTTACCACTTTTTATTAGGCAGTCAAGCTCAGTACATTGTTTTAAAAAACATTTGAAAATATATCTTTTTAATTTAGCTTTTAATTTAAATGGTTGTTTGTTCTGTCTGTTTATCTTTTTTATTGTTCTTATTTTATTACCAATTTCTATTTATTTCTTTTTCAAGCATAAATTGATACTTATGTTGCTTTACTGTACTACTGTGTTTTCCTTTACAACTGAAAGTATATCTGATAATTTTAAGATGTTATTTTTATGCTTGGTTTTTAAAGCACTTTGAGCTGCTTTTTGTATGAAAGGTGCACTATAAATAAAGTTGATAATTATTGCATGGACTGTCACCAGGCTGTATGAGTGATGAGTATGTGCTGTACTCTGGTTTTACAGACAGAAGGTGCAATCCTAGCTTGCTAAGTATAATTGGCTACAACAGCACTGGACCTGCAAGCCAGGGTCAGGTGGTTCAGTGGTGGGATGCTCAGGGAATTGTTGGACTCATACTCTTCCTCCTGTGTGTTCTTTATTCTAGGTATGTGCACGACCCCTGTATATGTGACGATACGGCTTTAAAAAAATAAGTGATTGTAATGCATGAAAGTACTTTGTTAGTGTTTGTTTTCAACAATAGACTGTATTCTCACTTTTGTCTATTTTCCTATTTACTCTAATGCTTTGCTTGGGATACTTGCATATTATTATATCTGTATCATTGCCACGTATTATAGAAGGGGTTTTCTGTTTGCCAGTCAAGTTTTTTTTTTATTTGAATGCATTGATTTGGTCTGTAACATTAAACACTCTGACCAATGAATCAGATGTAACGCTGAGGAAGAGCAGTAGAAATCGTGTGTTGGGATCACGTCTTGACACGTTCACTGATTTTCCTGCTGTGGTGTTGAAACGTGTGGCGCCGACTGATCGGCTCTTGTCCCGTCGCAGCATTCGGAACTCGTCAAACAGCCAGGTGAACAGGCTCACTCTGACCAGCGACGAGTCGGCCCTCATAGAGGAAGCGGGCAGCCGCGCCGAGAGCTTCGAGGAAGGAGAGGGCGTGCACCGGGCAGTGGACAACGAGCAAGACGGGGTCACCTACAGCTACTCCTTCTTCCATTTCATGCTTTTCTTGGCTTCTCTTTACATCATGATGACTCTTACCAACTGGTATAGGTAGATGGCCCTTTCTTATTTTTCACTCTTTTTTATAATGCAGCTACAAAATTGAACGTCAACATAAAGGGGAAAGGATTACATGTAACCTGTCATACAGTGGACCACTGTAGCAGATCCCTTGGTTGCTTTGTCAGAATTGCAATGTGCATCAATATAAATCTTAGGGCAGTATAACCTTAAATACCTGACTGTGGTCATGTAAGCTCTGTCAGTTAGAAAAAGGTTGAAAGACGCATTCCCTGGGGAAAGACACACATAGATTTCATTTTAGTCTTCCTCGTTTTTGTTTTTGTGTCCTTTTTAAGTTGCGTTAGATGAGGACATGGCTGGAAGCACTCCATAATATACAGCTTGTAATTTTTTTCCTTTTTTAACAGTCCTGATGCAACCTATGAAAAAATGACAAGCAAGTGGCCATCAGTGTGGGTGAAGATCTCGTCGAGCTGGATCTGCATTGCCCTCTACGTTTGGACTCTGGTCGCACCGCTGGTTCTCACAAACCGCGATTTTGATTGAGCACGAAGTACTGAAGGCCTAATGTATTAATCACGCTGATGCAGTCTTGTGACTAAGGGAAGTCACGCATCTCAACGTGAATTGTAAATACGTTTGTCCCTGTGGTTTATGCTGTTTCGCTGCATGCAAGAATAGCTATGAGTCCCACGTGTAGCATTTTACGACAGTTAGCATTTAGTGTTTAGCGACTGAACATACCATGGAGGAGTTTCAGAAAGAAAAGAGGAAGGTGTTTGCAGATATGCAGTAGTAAATGGAAGGGTCTTGTGATTCAGAAATGTGATTTGAGTCCTTTCAGAGGATAAGGCACAGGGACAGTGGACTGCTTCCTGGTTATTACGCAATGGAACTGAAAAGAGGAAGAATAACCCCCAGCCAGGTACAAAATAAAGGATTTGAAATGCATTTTGTAAACAGAATGAGCTGTGGCTGCTATTGACAACTTGCTTATTGTCATGTTACCTTTCTCAATATCTAAATGTTTTCTCATGCATTTGTTCCCAATGCAATTTTGCTGAAGACATAAGGAATTAGAAAAGTGTGTGTAGTTCCACTTTTTGTTTAAAGCTTGTATGTCCAGGTAAAGATAACCTTGCAATTTTAATAGTTGCATGCTGCTTTGACTTTTCCACTAGTAACTAACTTCTTTGAAGTTTGATTTTCACGTGTGTATTTCTGACATGATCATGTTTGTTTTATTTGTAAAACATTGAATTTACTTTCAATAATACATTAGAAATGTGAATATATTTTGTTAAATAAGGTGTCTGAGGCATGACCTGTTGTAGCCTGTCTCACAGGTTTCAAAATGGTCCTAAAGTACTGACAGATTATAATTTTTCTTCCATATAACATTTTGTTGTGTAAACTAGACTATAAAACATGTTGCAGTGAGTGTAGGGAGTTATTGAAATATTTTTACTTTGTGTTAAGTGTCAATTAGTGCTTTGCTGACAGGTACCTGTAAAAGCTATAATTTTGAGAAAGCAGGTGAGAGGCGCATTGTGAATCTTGTGGTCGCACTTTATGAGAAAGAATGGATGTTGCTTCTTGCCTTTCTTTTACATGTAAGTGTATTGTAACATTTTGTGATTAAATTCCTTTTAAGGCAAATGGCATCTAATTCATGTAGCTATCCAAAGAGTGCTGTAGATGTAACGTTTTAAAAACGTTTTTCTCTAACCTATCCCTCACCTTTGTCTTGACTAATCATTTTGTCATGACATTTTAAACCCATTTTGACTAAACACTTAATGTGATCCTGAGAAATGCTTGTGCTCGATTGCCAATTCTTTTGAACATCATCTTAAGTTCAGCACTGGCACTGTATTTGGAAGGGTTTCAAAGAATTTATAATCAAGTCCTCATAGCTTACGTTAACCACCAGTGCCATGCAAAGCTTTCTCAATGAAAGCAACTCTGAAATTTGGTTTATTGATCCCCGTTTCTAGTTTTGAAATTGTATTATATAAAAGCCTGTAGTTTTGCCATTGAGGGGGGCTAAAATATAACCGCTTTTATTTTTATATGGCTTTTATCTTTATCACTGTATGTGGTATGTATTCAAACAAACTTATTTCTGCACTTTCTTTTCAGGAGTATCCAATTGGCATTACAATGCCTGTATTTTAAAGTAAACTCAACTTACACCACACTGGTGTGACCCATTCAGCTGTGCTCTACCAGCTTTCTGCCAGTGTTCAATCGCCACCTTGGAGCAAATGTTTACACTCCTACTCCCTCTAAAGTAGTGAGCTACTGCTGTCTAAGAGGGTGTCATTTTACTCAGTAACAGCAACTACCGACCCTGGATAGACAGAATTCACACTAATATGTAACCCAACTAATGGACTATTAGGAGTAGCCAGTATGGTAGGTTTTCAGCATTTACATTCAAGTAAAATCTATTTAAACTAGAATAACTGCTTTTTGAACCATCTCATTTAATGTAAATCATATCCCTTAACATTAAAACCAGCTGTACTACAGAAATTCCAAAATATGGTAATAGAACAGATGCCTCACTAGAAACAACGAAATATATCCAATTCACTACAAAAAGCAGCCAAAAGCATTTGGCAAATCCAAAAATCCTGTAAACGATTAAGGAGCAAAAGCACAAACATGCCTCAAAAAGAACACCAGGAAAACACATACCCTTTCAGTCAGTTTTTCCCTTAATTGGGTAAAAAGGTAAATTGTACAAAAAGAGATTAGAGTGGGAAGGTGCATCAACTCCACAACTGAAACTTCATGGTATCGCCCTCAACTTGCCCAATAGCATATTTAAATCTTTAAAGCCAACTGTCTCATTTGGTCTTAAAAGACAGCCAAGGTAAGTGATCACCTGTTAGCCATGTGTCCCATGACACATCTGTCTTAAACTGAATTTTCTCTTGGGAAGGTTGGTTCCATAGGAAATACATCACTAAATTAAGAACTTATGATCACCGCCCACTATAGACAAAAAAATCCTTAGCATATATTTTGATAATGTCTTCTATATTACAAAAATATCTACAATTGACAGGTGAATTTGGGATGAAAAACCATAATTTGAGGAACTTCTATATTGCTGTTAATGTTGGACAGAGGAGAGGGTGAGATTTGTGTGAACTGCTTTGAGCAATGTGCCAGTGAATGTTGTGTAGTTATAACCTCAAAAGCAATCCATATCCCAGGGCCTGTTAGATTTTTGAGCAGAAAGCCAAACACACATTCTTCTGTTCTCAAACATGTATTTGTTATTATTAAGGATTCTAACAACCCTGAGCCTATCCTGGAACCTTAGACCCAAGGTAGGATCAAACCCTGGGCAGGGTTGGGCAGACATACAGGGACAAGGTAGAGACACCAGGTGTCTAGAGGTGAAAGGAAACCATAAGGAGAGCTGTTGACCCATACTAGTGTACAATCAAACCCAGATATAAGACTGGCATCTGTCCAAGATAACAAGAGCTGCAAGGCAGCAGTCCAAATTGCTACACAAACATGCCACGCCAACTTTAAAAACAGGCGATGGAAAAAAAAGTGCAAAAATAATAAATAATGAAGCAATCTCGATGCTTTACAATTTATTGGCTGCCAAGCTTGATATATCGGTGACAAAAAGCTCAGAACATAAGCGGAACATCACGTAGTTAGTTCAGCACGTTTTGAAACGAACGACAAACCAGACTTCTTGGAATTCGGAACACTGAGAATTTACAAAGACGGGGAAATGAACTACATACAGACACTTCCCTATCTTTATATGTCTATAATATGCTTGTACTCCATTTGAAAGGAGCATCTATGGAAACTGAACCTTTCCACAGACACGATAAAACGTATGGACCTAGTCATTGACAACTCAAAATAGTCTGTACCCCCCAAAAAAATGTCAACCAGCAAAAAAAAATACAACTGTATCCCTTTCGACTCCTTGGCTTTGTGAAGTCAGACCTAGAATACTCTATTGACAAGAGGATTTAAAGACATCCGCTAAATAACAGGAAGAAGGAGGACTGTCACATTTTCCTTTTGGATTTAGGACAGAAATGTACCAAAAGATACTAGCAAATAAATAGTTCATCATTTTGATGAATATATACAAATCGTAACCCATTTCTTTCCACTTTAAACACCCAGCTGCGGAGTCTCTATGTCAGGGGTTTCTGAATTGAGTCCGCAGAAGTAAAACAGAGTTGCTTCGCTGGCCTCCGCTTCAGTCAGAGGCTCCAGTCGAATGAGCTTGCTCCGGGGAGGCTCATCCGTTTCCAGAAGGTCAGTTGGATCTTCCTGGTCCTGCTCCTGCTCCAGAAGCGATTCATTCAGGCCTGAAACCGGAGCGTCTGGTTCAGGGGTGAGTGTGGAAGAACACCCATCCAAGAAGGCCAAGAGAGGGCAGGACGTGTACTGGATCAGCTGTTTATCTGCAGTGGGGACACCACAGTTCAACATGGGAGCAACGGGCAAAGCTGCAAGCTGAGAGTGAAATCTGCCATTTCGATCAACGATCATTAAAGGGGAACCGCAGCCCCAATTTCTCAGACCAATTATTAAATCTCGGTAAACAAAATAAATTCACTTACAGATTTCGGATTAAGCACAAAATAGTTAACTTTGTGAAATGCACAAATTGCAACGCAACCCTTCCTGCTCACTAGTCACTGTAATGACTCATGTAATGCGAAGTACGAGCAAATAAGTACAGGCTGTGCTATTTCAACCCATTAAGGTTCCACCGTGATCTGCATGCAGAGTTAACAAGTTAGATTTAATCGGCAAAACCGTCTTGAAGTTGAGAGCAATATTCCTATTAATTTAAAAGAGATGCCAATGCCGATTCTTCCTAACCCCGAAACATAAAAATAGCCTTGCAGGCCCCCTTGAAATATTTTTTTACATGCGCCATGCAAGACCAAGACAGAAGAAATCTGTGAAAGAAGATGCAGGGGGGAAACTGGATTAGACTTATTTAAAAAAAAATGTTTAGGATCTTTCCAGACTAAAACAGAGCAGTAAACGTCTAAATCCAACTGCAAAGTTCTGCATGCCTGAACCATATTGAACAGCTGCAGCTCACCGTTATTACTCTCACTTGGCTTCTCTTTGGAAAGCAAGCCCGCTTTCTCCTTTGAAGACTCTGTCCCCTAAGATTCACAGGTGAAACAGCAAGTCAAATTCAATTCAACAGTAATTACATTTCTCCACTAACACAATAAAAAGAACACATTAAAATAAAGAAGGTTAGGGCTTGCTCAAGTTTAGATGCAGTTCTACATGAGAGGGAATGTATTAAGTGATTTCAAGAAAGAACAATACAAAACAGCAAAACCCAGGATCACTCTAAAAAAGGAAATAAACCGTTTCTTAGTACTCTATAGAGACCAAAGTGGTACAGTACTGCAAACTACAGAAGTGTACAGATACTTAAATTGGGAGCTGAAAACCCAGTACATATTACTTTGATTCTGTGACAAAGCAAGTGACTGGGTAGAACTCACTTTAGCTGTGCTGACGCTGTGATCATTTGTGCTCACCAGGCAAACTGGATTAAAAAGCTACAGGGAAAAGGTTAAAGATCAATTAATGTGGGATTTAATTAATTCACACTCCACCTGCCACCCAGTTTCACCCATCCCCAAAAAGTGACCTACAAAATTACCACTCACTCTTTGAAATGTTTTAACTACCTCATATCTTCGTGCATTTGAAACTAGTACTTAATTTCACAATTTAATATTAATTTCTGGTTAAAGTAACTGTGCTTCTTATGCCTGTAAACAAACTGATAAAATCCCCAGAGCTAGAGACTTGTTAAATGTAAATCAGACATTTAAGCACGTTACTTGTACTATTGTGAGAATGCTGACCTTCAGTAACAACGTGCCGGCTGTTATCAACTACCAGGTTCTACATCAAACATGGATAGCAGTTGTTGCATTTTAAGATGAAAGAAAGTGAAACGTAGACCAAAACACTACCACAGTGATTACTGAAATACAGCAAACAGATGTCAAAATAAATTTAGATATACATATTATTGCACCACTTCATTAATAAAAAATATTAACACCTGAATCTTACATCATCTACGATTTCTGGGTCAATATTGAACTGCTTTCCACACAGCATAGCCTGAAAGTCTTCCAAACTGCAGTCAATACTGTCCAGGTAGTCCATCAGCTCAACCCTGTAGGACAATAGCAACACTTTGTTAATATATTACAAGAAAGGCCAAGCAGCTCATTCACAGAACTCGACGTGCCAGCCACACCAAGTCATACAGTCTCTCAATACTAATGGAAATGGGGATGTTTCTCTTAAATGAAGGGGTATAGATACAGTCCAACAAACTGTTCAGAACTATCTTAAAGTGTGCCTCCAAAATAAAAATTACCGCTGCACAGCTAAGCAAGTGTAAACAAAATTCAGAAATTAAATGATTATGATTTCTGCTTCCGGGGTTTATACTTTTACTAGAACAGGAATTTTCTGGAGGTTTAATACACACAATGCACGTCACAGGCACAGACTCTTATCAGAATACTATAACCAAATATAATTCATATAGTTCTTTCAGCTACAAAATCAAGTAAGGGTCTGAAAGACCAAACACACTTTGCTTATTTATAATGAACTTTGCTGGAATAAAGTGGGAGTCAGCAAAAACAGAAACAGTGGCACTTACTTGCCCAGAAGGTTAATGTTCTGTGAAATAGCTCCGCTTTCATTCATAATGGAGTCCATCATTGTAACTGGATCTTCCAAAGTGAGCGCCGATGGTTTATTGATCTGCAGAGCACTGCTTGAAAAAGGGGCGTTTTCAGATATGGCTTTGGCTATGTCTTGAGGCTCCACTCTTGGTGGGTCTGTCACTTCATCATCCACAAGCACTGCCCCATCACTACCAATTTTAACTTCTACAATTTCAACATCCCTATAAAAAAATATTAAGTCAGGTATGTACAAATGAGCAATCCTCATATTACTTTTTTTGTTTAATTAGGATTTGCCTTAAGACGGAAACCAAACAAGAATCATAGTTAATACAAGTTAAAACAAGTCAATATAGGATGGAAGTCCATGATTGACGGTTAAAGTGGAATCACAACCTCTGCAAATATTAACATTAATCGAATTCAGTTAGAAAAGAGGTTCAAAGTTCCTGCTTATATACTGTAACCATTTCAAGTATACTGTAAATAAAGAACAGAAGTAAAGATGAACAGGAAAGAACTATGCCGATAAAAGTTTTTAGAGGTCAGACAAACTCCATAAAAGCATCAGCCAATTAAGAACAAAGCCTGTAAACAATACGAGTGTAGCTAAAAAAAAAAACTTTACATTGGATCAGAAATTTTCGTTACTTCTTCCACGTTTTCTGGATGATCGTCAGTTACATCACAGATTATAACATCATCAGAAATATCAGAACTGTTCTTCAGACCATTCGGCACTTTCATAGATCCCTACAGGAACAAACGAACAGAATATACACACAAATAAAAATATTACACAACACGTAAAGACATATTGTTGTACAGATGTCTGTCTTTAATTAGTTGGAGATTTAAAACTCCAATTTATGACAAAAAATACTGAAAGCGATTACTTCTGCGTATTTTGGGTACACTTTATAAAGATCATTGACCTTCTGGCAGCTTATCATGCCATTATGACAATAGGAAATACACCTACAAATACTAGTATTGCAAAGAAAAGTTAGAAGAATCCTCAATTGGGTAACAGTATGAGGTTCTTCCTTGATGTCTGAGAAAACCATTAGTTCAGTCTGAACTGCAGCTTACAAGGTGAAAAGTTAAACTAAATGGGCTTAAACTTTGCACTGATAACAGGCTCAATCTTTTCTCTCTCAAGACACTGCAGCAACGAAAGTGAAATTAACAAGAAAACGGCAATAGGCACGTACTTTATTAAAATGTCATACAGCTTGGCTCTTAAACAGCTACTGCTAACCGAAGAAGAATGTATACAGTTCATGCTGCTAGCTCCAGCATGCTATGAACCTAAAATCAAAGATTCCTAAATACGCTAAAATGAAATAACTATTACATATGTAAGCCTAATCAAAAGATTATACAAAAATAGTTTGAATATCTGGGTCTCAAGAAACTCTTCTGTATCAAAGCGTTAGTTTCTAAACGGATCCTAACAGTTGCTTACTCATTCAAGTCTCAATGATCGCAAATTCAGAGGCTTTTACAAGCCTCCTACAAATAAATGATTCTGAAAATGAAACCCAAATTCATAAATCTGAACAAAGACCAAATGCACAGCTACAAAGTATATAAAATGTTTTTCATTTTTAAGCAAAATGTTTGGCTTACAAATGAAATTTGAAGGTCTGAAAGAAATAAAAGCTAGATTTAATAATTACTGTACTTTGGAATGGTTTGTAAGTTATATTCCGAATATCCAGTTTAACTTAAAAAACTTAAATGCGATCATCTACTACAAATACCTTGCTGTGTTCGACGGATTCCTCATAAATTTGATGAAAGTATTTTGACTTGTTTCCATTGCTGTTCATCAATAAAGGTCTACATGAAAAAAGAAAATCACAAAACATTTCAAAAGGTGTACAATAAAGGGGCCAGTTTTCTCATATTGAAACTATGTAAATTTGGAAGCACGTTCTCAATGTTAAATTTCATTTCATATTTACTGTTATGTTGACAACCTAACTTGCCTTCTATTGCTTGCACAACAGTGCATATAAATGCTATGCGTCTTCCATTTTGGTTACAACAAACGTCAGTGATGTAAAGGCTGGGCTTACCTTTTGCGTTTCAAGCTCACTAGACGGTTGTTCTGGGCTAATGTTATAATGAACTGGATCAACTGAAATAGAAAAGGCACATTAAATCCCTAACAGAAGTTAAATTCACAAAGCTGAACACTGATGTAATATTTAACCTCATAAGGCCAAATACAGAATGTTTTTGTCAAAATACACAATTTGCACCTAAATACCTAAATTCTGATATGATATAACTGCAAATTGGATCTGGTCATCTGTACCGTTCACCCCTACTCAGTGTATTACCATCTTAATGGGGCTTCTCAGTTCATCAAAAATATAAAAGTACAAAATTTGCTGGAGAGCAAATTAAAATTAATAGGGCTATTTTAGCAATCACACAAATATTAACATACAACACTATCCAAATTGGCACAATTATCTAGAACAATTTGTGTTTCTTTAAAGAAAGACCTAAACACTGCATAAAATTAAGTGTTCTATTTTATTTGAGAATCCACCACTCTTGAGATTGGCGTCAAAAACTAAACACCATTATTTAGGGTATAGCCTTTTATATTCTAGAGTTAATATATAAATGTTTTTTCATAGAATAAATACAAATGCACCCGTCTTTGCACTGGTAGTTTAAAAGGCTTTAAGATAAGCTATACAGACATTTTGTCTTTCATAACTCACTTCTGTATAAAGGGTAGATTACATATAATTGGTGCCTGAAAACTAATATAAATGTAAACCAACCACAAATAAATCTGAATTAAGTTCCATTAAAGAATCATATGCAGAATTCAAACAAGCCATCTGTAAAACTGTCACTGCTATAAAAGTTGGTTACCTTTTTAATAACTTGTTGCTGGCTGGTATGTTTCTGTCTCAAATCTGAGACTTCCCTCCACAGAGCCTCATTCTCTCTGTAATTCAAGAACAAAAATGTTAGTTTTCCATAAACACAGATAAATCAATTTTCTTCATTTTAATAAGGTAAAGTATACAAAAATGGTCCCCGATATATATTGGGATTAAGGACTAAAAGGACACAATTTATAACAGAACAATGCATGGCAATTTTCCCCATAATTAAGGACTGTAAAAGTAAAATAATTTTAAGTGTATGGTTTCCTCACGTATTTGCAAACAAAAACCATATTTTAATATCTGAACTCTTGCATTACTAATGATCAGATGACTGCAAAAAGACAAATGAGAAATCACTAGTAAATCAAATTACAGTGGTCATTCTGTTACCTTTTCAGTGTTGAGAGTCTCGAATCAAGACTTTCTTGTTTGCCATGAACACTCTGAACGTTGGACAGGATCTTAGAGAGGTCTTCGTGACGTATTTTATTTTCCTCAGGCCTGGCTGACGAAACCTACAAAAAGAAAAAAAATCACAACTTTAAGATAAAACTAAGTTAACTGAAGTTCACTCAACAATTCTAATGCTCTTCCTGCTTTACATACATTTGCTTCAATTTGCAGGTATGGATTGTGAATGACCTTTTAGAATGGTATCCATTCACAAATAAACCTCTGGTGGATTTGGCCATATCTGAGGAACACAAGAAAACTGTTAGATTACTTAGAGGGGACAAATGAAGTTTTGCCTGAAAATAATTAAAATTAAACAGGAGCTATGGGCTACATAAGCAGAACCTTAATTGGATTTTGTACTTAGCAAAGACTAAAGTTAATTACAAACAAAAGTAGGCCATTTGATTCTAAAGGTGGCAGGGTGTAAAATTAGAAACCCATCGTGCACATTATTTCAATTTTCTTAAAGCAGTTTTGAGCTTTGTGAGGCTATTTTCTCACATTTTAAGGCAATAAGTTCAAAGTGTAAGCCCTTGTTCTTACCTTTCTTTTGATGTTTTCTAGCAGGTCATCCTGCCCATGTTTGAAGAATGGATGCTGGAATTCAACTGGTCCATCACGTTCTTGTTTTACGATGCCAGTGTCCATGTGCATTACCTTGCGAAATCCATCTGCAAGACAGTTTGTCCTCTTTAAAAGCCCTCTGCACTGACATAAAATGCAATATTTTAGCTCTCTTTAACATAATTGATTATTTTCTGACCTATGAATCTAATTTAACATGTTTTTAATCCTGGTTCACATTTATTTCCTCTTTTTTTTCCCCATTGCTCTCCAGAAATCTTTATTAAAATCATGTAGATATTTTTGAATTTTTAAAACCCTCTTGATATGTATGATATGCATGTATGATAGTGCAAAAAAATACCCCTCAAATCACTCACTCAATTCAAAACCCCCAACTAAAGCAAAATTAACTACATAAATAAAAGTTTAAATAATACATGTTTTGAAAATAATTGATGAATATTAAAACAGATCTTTTTCCAGAACTGTGACTTGACATAATTCCTCAGATAATACAGGGTACTCAACAATCCCCATGCATCTTGATATCCTTCAGCCATATGCTTTCCCTCTTCGACAGCCTCAAGTAATGATGTCCGTATTGGTTTTCCATAACTGGACATGGGTTCTTGACTTTCACTCCGAGACAAACACTGAGGAAGCCAGGTCTCCAGATCTGCTACTTTGTTGCTCCTTCCATCCTACTCTGAAGGGGTTTCAGTTCCCCTGCTCTTTACTTTTAACAAAAAAAACACTATTTTCACTTCTGGTTTGCCTATTCCCTTTTGCTTTTACTCATTTTTCTCCCCCAACTTCCAGCATTAAGGTACAGGCTGGCTCACAGGTGCCCGGGCAATTCCTAGAGGCATTGTGAGCACGAGCAAGCTGAGAATTACCCAGGTCATGTCAAACCCATGAGCCTGCTGGGGTCCAGTCATGTGCCCCCCTGGCAATGAAACTCAGAGGTGTGTCTGTGAACCGGACTAAAGGACTCAACTTGTACGCCTAGGGAGCAGGTTGCGGTCAGTGCACGTTCCCCAAAAAGGCCAACTCTGACAGAGATGCCAGCAGCGTAAAATGGCATTTGAGGGGGGAGCTGTGTCAGCATGTGCTGCTGCAAAGGAACAAATAAAGGAGGAACATTTCAGCCTTCTTCACGACATACTGTACACAATCATGCTTTCAGCAGCGGGTTACATCTCAGCAAAGAAATCATTATGAATTAACTCCTAAATGTCTACGAACCTGAAGAAGTGTGGGTTGATCCTTTCTACTTTCAGCCTGGAATTACTTGTTCCTTGAGTGACCTCATGATTTGTTTACATGTACAGTGCACATACTCACAGGGAATACTTTACTTGTCTAATTCTGTCTCCCACACCCGAAGAAGGCCCCACGGCTGAAACGTTGTTTTCTTTCTTTTCAGCAGGGAATAAGCCTGTTACTTGTTCCTTTGCAGCCCACGCATGCCGACACAGCTCCCCACCTGAACTAATTCCAGTATTGACAACCTAACGTAAGAAAAACATCTGTGACCGTGAAAAGTACTTACACATGTTGAGCTGCCTGACGAAACTTGCCATATTGTTATGCTTGAAGAATTTGGGGAGAATCTCTTTGGCAAATCGCTGTTCATCCAGCACAAGAAAGCTGTTACCTTCCTTTAAAACAAACAAGAAAGTCCATGCTTACTTTAACGAAAATCTGGTCAGAAAGATGATGGATTACAAAAATCACATTGCCGTGGGGAAGCAGTTTTCATGCATCAAGTTCCCACAGAGCTTAAAAATATTTTTACACTTCATTCAAAATCAAATGCCAAAATACACCTTGAACAGCTAAACTGCAGATTACATCAGCCCATCATAAGAAAATATCCTATGCATGTCTTGAAGTGTATTAACTACCATGATTTGACATCATGTATCCATGGCATTTTATTTCTCCGAGTTTACATTAATCCATATTCAGAATGCAGGCGCACACACTTTCCCAGAGCATGAGCAGCTGCAGCTATATTACCGATGGCACCGAGCAGCTTCTAGAAAAGGAGACCCTCATTCTCTACGCTAGTGCCCCAAAACACACAGGTGTTTTTTTTCCCCCACCGTGTAATTCCTTACATATAAACCTTTGATGCTCTCGTCCGCCGAAGTCCTGCAAGAGACTGGGGGGTCAAGAGGCAAGGACAGACTTCTCCAAGCTGAATTTGAGGCAATAGCAAGGGTAGGTGTTCTAGTGTGGCGCACACACCCCATCAGGAAGCTGGCTGTGGAGGGTACATTTATGGTCCAAACACTTCCAATCAAATTTAAGATGTTGCATCAAACCTCCCCACTCCCAGCATGCTATGCACTGAAATGAACAGAAATAAATCCGCTCTTTAATTCTTCGGAGGACAGCTCATGGAACAAGAACAGCCTGCTTGCATTCCTGTCCAACGTAGCGCTGCTCAACTCGGCAACAAACGTCACCCACTTCCCTCCTGAACGCAGACCCGCTCCTCCCCCGGCGGCTGCAAGGCGAGCTACCTCCCCGAGCCAGCGGGACCGGTACCGCCCCGGCCCGGCACCACAGAGCGCCCCCGCGCCTTCATCATGGGGCCCCCTATCTGACCTCCCGGCCAACTGCCACATTGAGCTCGGCCCTTCGCCTCGAGTGGCAAAGCAGCCGGCAGCCAGACCACGGTCGGCAGCGCTTGCTCGGAGCACGGCGCCGCGGGCCTTCGCAGAACAGCCACGTAACGCGGTCGCCTTGGAAACGGCGCGGAGGATACAAGAGCCGGCCGTCCCTCGGGAAACAGCGAGAGGTCCGAGGCCGAACCGAAGCCGCCTCATTACGTTTTTTTCTTTCTTTTCGACTGCGACCAGTTTAGACCGGGCTCCCTCCAGCCCCCTGCTCCCCCGCTCAGTCTCTCTCTCTCTCCTCTCTGTCAGGCTGCCCAGACGGACGCGGGCCCGGACTCACCTGGCTCCAGCAGATGAACTCGTTCGTGTCCGGGTCCTCGACCAGGGTCCACAGCTTGGTGAGGAAGGCGGGGACGCTGGAGTTCTGCTTCATGGTGCGGGCGGACGAGGGGAGCGCAGCGCTGCTTCCGAGCACAGGGCTCAAGCGAGTACTCCGGGCCCGCAGCGGAGGGGGGAGGGGAGAAAACCCCGAGCACAGCTTCCGGCCTGAACCGCGGCTGCCGATTGGTGCCCCGGCTACCTTACGTAAGGCTCCTCACGTGTAACAACAATGCGCTCTGCGCGGCCGGCCAGCACAGCCAATGGCGCGGCGCGTTTGCGAGCCTCACGTGTCGGAGGGAGGGGCCTGCCCCGCGGCCGCTTGCTGATTGGATAAAGAAGGCAGGTGGTGTTGATGACGCAGGCGGAGGCACGCGAGCCTGCTGTCTGTGTGTGCAGAGTGCTGCTGCATTGTGGGTCACAGCACTGCCGAGACAGCCGGGTAGTGTTTCTCCTGCCCTGGTGGGACTGACTGCTTCCACACACAGACCTCAGCGTCTAGTGAAGGCGGACTCCGGCTAGCGGGGTTTTGTTTTTAATTTGGCAAACACCTCAGACCGTGGTGATTTAAAGTACGGGTGGGGTGCATCAATGTCAATTACACAGCTATGGAAGTTAAGAAAGGTAATCGTGTTTAAATGAATACTGTCCTTGCAATGAAAATATTACACATGTGTAAGGCATATCACACCTGAAGAAGGCTCCGCAGCCGAAACGTCATGTGTCTTTGCTATTTCTTTCAGCATGGAATAAACCTTTACCTGTTCAAATGTAAAACTACTGTAGACTACTTATTTTGTAATACATCAAAATGTCTAGACCGTTTCTAAAGCGAGCAGTAATGCAGTAGCATGTTTAGGGACTACAGAAAAACGTAGTTTCTAGTGCAGACCAAGCTTTTAGAAAACAATCCCAATTATGATGACTTTTCCTGGTGAGAAGTTGATTTTATTTTTATACTTCACCGAAAACAGCATAAGTGGGTCTGAGATGATGCTACAAGGCTTTGTGATTCAGTTTGACAGTTAAATGTTTTATTCAGACTTTCGTGTCTTTCCATCTGAAGAGCCTAAAGCATTGATGCAGATTTATGAAGAGGCTCACAAGTCGAGCGTAAGTGTAATAGTAACCACTTCCCATAAAACCTGAAATCCCCGCAAAAGTCTCAGAGGTAAGAGTGTGAGATGACTGATGCCTGTCAGCACTATATCCAATATCACACCGGTGGAACTTGTGGACTTCAGGTCACCTGCAACGATGACAGGGGAAGTTAAACAGCATTGTGTCGACATTGGTCTTAGGACCTTAATGATGTGAAGTATTCATGCCCAACACCCTCAATGTTAGAAAATATGGTGTTATGGATGTAAGATACCTTTCTCTTTTTAGTACACATGAAAAATATTGATAACTCACAAACATTTCCATGTAATGCATTGCTTTGAAACTGTGTTTTAACAATGATCTGCAGCATAGGCCGATTCCGCTGACATTTTCTGTCACTTATTGTCTATGACTTACAGTCTCTGGAGTTGAGGCAGTATAATGCTAACTGTGGTTTTATGGAAATAGAAAATGCTAGGCTACAGTATATGAGTGGTATGGGATACCAAAGTAATTCTGGAAAGCTTCAAAAGATAGTAATATTTAGAAAATAAAATATAGGAAATTAACTTGTAGAATGAACACATATACAATCTCATATGGAAGATAGTTGTCTAGAGTAACGACTGCATTTTCAGAAGGGATTTAATAGTTTTGTGTTCTACAAATATAGAAATGTGTATCTTAACAGTGGGAATCCAAAATGCACTTTGGACTTTGTGAGCTGCACCAGAAGGCCCTGGTGTACTGATACCAACTACACATCCTGCTAGTACTATAGCATGCAAAAAGAGAAGTGGTGGTTATTGGAGACTTCATTCTCAGGAGCACTGCAGCTGGGATATACAGTACTGCGCAGCAGGAACACCGAGCAAAGGCAGGTGAGCTTGCAGCTGTTGTTGTCAGTGTTTGGATTGTCGAGATCGGTACCAACAGCACACTTTCCGTTCACAGCCAATTCAAACACCTGCTGTCGGAAACAGACTGAAGAACTGAAGTCTGACTTGGACATAAGTGTTGTTCCTGATACCTGTAAGGGTGTGGAAGAAGAATCAGAAACAAGGCAAGAGGATCCTAAGAGATACTGTGGTCAACGTGGGGTTACAAAAGGTAGATCTTCCTTAAGTACTTTGTTGGAGTACTTGAGAGGAGCAACAACAATAATGGACACATACATACTGTAGCATACTGTCTGATGTTGCATACCACATTCCAGGTTTCTTTTGGCTTCCAATAAAGCTGACTATAAAAGATTACTTCTGGAATTGCAGGGAGTAAACATTCAAAGTAATGTGTGTGTTTGGACTAAGTGTGTATATATTTGCATTTTAATAAAATATTATATATATATATTTCTCTGTGCCAGAACACACAGTATAACAGATTAAATATCGAATGTACAGAAAACAGATTGTTTGAGAGAATACTTGAGTTGAGGTGATGGATTTCCATACTGGGTCACTGGTTTGAAATTTCAGCTCCAGAGGGAAGAGACATACTGGTCCACAGAGAACACTTACAAACACTTCAAAACAACAGCAAGAGGTTTCTCAGTCCAGTGCTGGCCAGGTTCAGCCTTGCTGAGCTTCTGAGATGTGACAAGAGCAGGCTGCGTTGGTGGTAATGCTTTAAATTTAATGTTTAAGAGAGACCAAAAATCACAGGCGTTTTTTTCATAATATAATAATATATTATAATAAATAATAAGAATTATAATAATAAAAAACTTAATTTTATATAGCACCTTTAAAGGTGGCTTCTCAAAGCGCTTTACAGGATGACAACAACAATAAATAAGAAGAATAAAACAATAAATAAGAATACACAAGATAAAACACAATTACAATATACAGAGGAGACTGTGGATGGTGGTACTAAGAAAAGCAGAGGGGTGAAGAGTGGAACCAGTTAAGTAAAGGAAGTTAAGTAAAGATCACCTTTGCCTTAAACAGATAGTGCAGGACAGTATCAGCCAGTCCACCAGAGAAACCTGAAATGAATTGGCCGAGCTCAAGGACGCAGAGGAGTCTCAGGACAGATTAACTACTCAAAGTCTGCCTTGTAGAGTTCTGCGGGAAACCAAAGGCACGTTGAAGGACCTTCAAGAGAAGTGAGCAGCAGGAAGAGAAAATAACCAAATCTCCGAAGCACCTGGAAAGGGCCAAGCTAGGAACAGATGCAGAGGGAGGATCTGGGGTTGGTCAGGCAGTGTATGAAGGAGAAGGAACTGCTTCTGTCCCAAGAAACCCATGAGGTGAGGGAGAAGGAGGTGCCTGTATCCTACGAATCCAGGTGAGAGGGAGAATATCACCACAATAATTGCACCTGCCCCTGCTTCTTTTTTTAGACAACTGTCTCATCAGTGGGTATTAGTTGTGTCTTGAGTAACAATCAGCTTGGTTCTGTTGAGTGTGTGATTTTCATCTCTTGTTTCCTCTAGTAGATTTGATAGAATACGATCAGACCCTGGAGATCTTTAATGCTTCTGGTACCCGTAGCTTAACTGCCTCTGAAAGTTTCTTACTGTTGTCTCTGACACTTCATCCTTAACTTTTCACAAGGAATTTCGGGTGTTGAAAAAAAAACTCCAATATAATAGTCTTTTACTTCTCTCAGCCTTTCTGCTTTCCTCAGTTCATTGTGCCTTTTCCTTATTTTGATCATGTTCTTTTTTTCAGGGTAGTTGACGTTATCCAGTAGCTTCATCAACATGGCTGGATTGTTAGTCCAAAATGCCTTTATTTAAAGAAATGTATCTTCTTGGCTTTAAATGCATTTGAATGTGCTTTCCACTGGTATCCACTGGTTTGTGGATGGCAGATACTTTTCTCTTTTTAGTACACATGAAAAATATTGATAACACAAACATTTCCATGTAACTCATTGCTTTGAAACTATGTTTTAACAAAGATGTTTAGCATAGGTCGATTCCACAGACATTTTCTGTCACTTATTGTCTATGGCTTACAGTCTCCGGTTTTAAATGCATTTGAATGTGGTTTTCACTGGTATCCACTGTTTTCTGGTGCAGTGATTCTGATGAAGGCGGTAGACTTGTATTTGTCTGCCTATAGATATTTTAAATACTTTAATCAGGTCCCCTCATTGTTCTCTCTGTACACAGAGATTTTGTTCTTTTGGTCTTTCATTGCAAGTCTTTTCTTCAAGCCCGTACATTTCTTTTGTTGCGTCTTGTCTCGATTGATGTCAGAGCAGACATATTTTCTATGCAAATATTTTGCCAAATTATTTCAGCGCTTTTAACTATTTTTGCAAATATTCTGTTTGTCTTTTATGTATTTTCCTATATGGTCTAAAAATATAAATGATGTGTCAATATAAACACCAAAAACTCTGTTTTCTTTTTATAAGTAGCTTCTTCAGTGACACGCAGAAGAACACAGTGCAACTGTGTGAAAGTGTTCTTAAAACCAAGGATACCCTGGAACTATCTGCCCACCTTGCTGTTACTTACTTACTCACTCCGATAGCTGTATGTACCCAAGCTCAGCTTGTTTCAGGAAGCAGCTAGATGGAATTCTTGGTTGAATTAGCCACTAGTAATCAAGCTTAATGGTCTGAGTGGCCTTCTCTTGCTTGTAGCCTTTCCTATGTTCCTACATGCTTAAAAACTGTAGTGGGTGCAAAGCCTTAAAAACATTCCATGACTTCTATAATAAATAGTTTCACTCTGTGTTGTACAGTATGTTCTTTTCCTTCCCTGTTCCCCTGAGCAAGGCCCTTAACCCCAACTGCTCCAAGGGCGCCTGCGCTCTGACCCCCAGCTTCTCTCTCCCCGTCTGTGTGTCTCATGGAGAGCAAGCTGGGGTATGCAGAAAGACAAATTCCTAATACAAGAAATTGTATATGGCAAATAAAGTGATCTTATTCCCCTGTTTATTCCCTTGTCCCCCATGTTTCTGCATGTGTAGTGTTTTGATGTGGGCTCCAGGGGGCACCAGAGCTCAAGAATACTGTCGGCTCATGAGCCCGAGATCCCTGGCATGCACTGATCATGCAGTACTCTCTGCAAA